TGCCATTTAACCCGGTGATTCTACTTCTAGGAATATATCCTAAAAAGCCTGAAACACCAATCAGAAAGAATATTTGCACCTCTGTGTTCATAGCAGTGCTATTTACAATAGGTAAGATTTGGAAACAGCCCAAGTGTCCAGCAGTAGATGAGTGGATAAAAAAGCTGTGGTACATGTACAGAATGGAATACTATGCAGCTGTAAGAAAGAAAGCTCTGTTTTGAGAGGACATGGAGGGGACCTGGAGAATATTATGCTAAGTGAAATAAGTCAGTCAAAGATAAGTACAACATGATCTCATTTACTTGTGAAATATAATGAACACAATAAGTGAAAGGTAATTTTTTTTTAGGGCCTTCTGGTAAAAACCGGAAGACGTACTAGACAAATTCAAAAACAGCGGTAAGCACTAATGTCTTAAAGTGTAAAGGTAAAAGCTTGCAAAAGATGGAAACTGAAAAATTATGTTGCTTGCATGACCTTTGCTCAGCCTTCTGTTGAGTACGGACTATCTGAATTATCCCCAAAACAATGAATCACCCAGCAGATACAGGACGAGATACCAGGCAAGTCCAACTGCAAAGTGGACAATGGGCCAGGCAGAGTAAGTCAGCAGGAACTGCCAGGAGCTAAAAGTAGAGTATATAACCTACACCCCAACTGTTATTCAAGGCTGAACCCTTTTTGGCTCAGTCCACCTGCACCCAGGTACATGCAATAAAGCCATTTTGCTCTACATTGGCCTTGCATTGAGGATGTAATCTCCCGCCAGCTCAGACCTTTTAATAATCTGTTAAATAAAATAGATCCAGAGACATGGAAGTAGGGAACAGACTGACAAACCTAAGAGGGAAGGGAGATGGTGGTGGTGGGGCTGGAAGAGATAAACCAGAAAACTAATATAGACAACAGTGTGGTAATATCAGGGTGAGGTGGGGGTGGGGGAGGGGGTGGGGAGGGGGGTATTAATGGGGGATAAAAGAGGGACATCTGTAATAAAATTAATTAATTAATTAAAAATATATTACACCCCAGTTATGCCATCCAGAGGCAGAAAATGCACCACCTATGATGCACCAATGAACACATATAACATAAAGACCATACACATAATTCCAATTACTAATTCTTGTAAATAAGGCACAATATTTTTTTCAGTTGCTCTGGACAACTTTCAAGGAGACTGGAAAAGGGGAGGGAAGGTTCTAATTACCCAGTAAGAAGACCTGTTGAGACTCGCAATGAAAGCTTCCAGGGCTGTGAATGAGCGGTAGAAATGAAGAAAGTTTCAGCTGCGATCTGAGGAAAGAAGCAATAGGAGAGAGCCTAGATGGCGCTGCTTTGGCTCTCTAAAAATGTTATAGGAAAGGAAGAAGTCTGGGTGGTGCTGCTTTGGCTCACTGAGAAATAAAAGTCACAGTGACAGAGGTGAGCCAAGGAGGAGCTGCTATTGGCTCACTGAAAATTCTGAGTAAAAAGAGAAACTTGACACAAGATAAGATGTGACAGGAAAAGAGTGGGGTTGTCAAAAGTCAGAGTGATAGCCCTGGCCGGTTTGGCTCAGCGGTTAGAGCGTCGGCCTGTGGTCCAGAGAGACCCGGGTTCGGTTCCCGCTAAGGGCACGTGCTTCGGTTGCAGTTTGTCCCCGGCCCTGGTTGGGTTGTGAGGGTGGCAACCACTTGATGTGTCCCTTTCACGTCGATGTTTCTCTCTCTCTCTCTCTCTCTCTCTCTCTCTCTCTCTCTCTCTCTCTCTCTCTCTCTGTCTCTCCCCCACTCTATCTGAACAACAACAACAAAAAATCAGAGTGATAAATGCTCCAGATAGAGGACTGGGAGTTATAGTATGAGTCGTCTGGTAGCCCTATTTATGCACCTTGAACCAGTCAAGGAAGTCAGGTCCTTAATAGAGAAAGAAATACAAAGAGCTTGTGGACAGGTTTACCCTGTGTCCTAAGGGTGGCCTACCAATGATCAGGGCAGTAGATGCCCTGAGGATGAATTTACTCTGCTCCGAAAGGAGATTCAACTCCACATTGGCTGGTCCTGACTCACAGGACCCCATCACTCAGGTGTCACCTGGGGACAACTGTATGGGCAGATGACTCCATGTCCAGAAGGCAGGTGTACCTTCCATCTCAGCGTTGATGAGGTACGTTTGACAAAGGATTTATTCTGCTGCTGACAGGTAGTTTCCCCCCACACCAACTGTTCCCGTTTCCCTATTTCACTTGTCCTAGCTTACTAGCCTGTCTCAAAATCTAGATTTACAATCTCTCTCCAAACCTGGCCTTCTTCCAGTGCTTTCTCTGTCCAAACTTCTTTGACAGTCCTCCTGCTGGGAGGTGGTATTATGTCCCTATCCTTGAATGTGGGCCTGGGACTCATATATAGTGCACATGATGCTCTGCCAGATTTTGGGCAACAGGCTTTAAGAAACTAGCAGCTTCTGCTTCCAGTCTCTTGGAACTCTCACTCTGGGAACCCAGCCAATGTGAGGAAGGAAAGCAGCTACACGGAGAGGCCACAAAGAGCTGTCCGAGGCGACACCCCCAGCTGAGGTTCCAGTTGACAGCTGGCATCAACTTCCCCACTGGGAGTGAGCAGATGATTCTAGCCCCAGCCTGTGAGTCTCTCCAACTGATAGTGCTTTGGAGCAGAGACGAACTGTCCCTACTAAGGGCTACCCAAATTGCAGATCTGTGAGTGAAAGAAATGATTATTGTTTTAAGCCACTAAGTTTGGGTGGTTTGCTGTGCAGCAACACATAGCTGGGACACCATGCCTCACCTATCCAGAACCTGTCCATCACCAAATGCCACTGAGTCTTCTTTCTAAATACCTCTGAAATCCACCATGTTCTCTCCATTCCCCCTGCCACCTGGGGATGTTAGCATCCTAATAGACCCCCCCCCCCCCCAGCTGCCAGAGTCTATTTCCTACATAGCAATCCAGAGAACCTCCTGGAAAGCCCATGGGATTACCTGCCTAGCTCATCTGTCCCAACTTAAGCACTTAGTGGCACTCTCCACTTTACTAGAGTCAAAATTTACCATCCTTCCCTCCTTTGGGCTTTATCACATTGTTCTTCTCTTCTTCCAGTACCCATGTTCCCTTTGCCCCAGGGCCTTTGCACATACTGCTTCACCCTGCAATGCTCTCCTCCACTACCAACTTCACTCTCACTCATGCTTTAGCTCTCAGCTCAAACATCACCTCTTCTGTGAACTATCTCTAAGCTAGTGGTTCTCGAAATATGGCTTAACAAGCCCTGCAGGTGATTCTGACCTAGACACTTGAGAACTGCGCTAAAGCTCAGTTCAGGTGGTGGATTTTATTTTCTTCACCTGCCAATTCCTTTCCTTCAGTGGTCTGCATTTGTGATGACAAATGTGATCTTTGTGAGATTATCTGACTTCTGGCTCCCTGGTAGACCAGAGAACAGGACCACTCAATTTTTGCACTCACCACCTCTCAGTACATAACCCCAAGCCTGGCACATACTGATCACTTAGAGGATGGGCTTCAATAAATATTGCCTGTCAGCCTCCAGGTGGTCATGTGCTTCCCTGGGTGTGAGGGAGGGGAAGACACTGCTCCCCTTAGAGATCTGGGCCCCTAAAATTGACCAGGGGGAGGGAGAGAAACTTGTGGAGGAATCAGCCCCTGCAGAAAAGGGTGCTGGGAAAGGGTTTTCAGAGCCAGAGCTTCCCCTCCTCTTCCCTCCCCCTTTTCCTTCCTAGCTCCCCCAGGGTAGCCTTCAGGTGATTTCTATTGACCTCTGAGCCAGACCTTCTTCTATGGACTTTTTGTGTTTTATATCATTTAATAACAATAAGCTTCTGAGTTGTGTATCATTAACTTTCCCATTTTATAGATGGGGAAATAGACTCAGTGAGGTTCAGTAACTTGGCTGAGATCGGGGCAGGGAGGACTTGAATCCCGATTGTGTGGCACTGCCCCTCACTATCCGCGCCAGGTGTGGTGGGCCGGCTGGGCCATGTGGTACCTCATTTGCTCTGCCAAAGGGCAGTCTCAGCTGCAGTGGATTATGGACCTGTGTGGTGGAGGCCCCAGTGTTGCCAGACCTTCCCAAATTTTCAAGAGAAACAAAAAAAATTATGGATGTTTATTTTTTATTATTATTTTTAATTTTAAAATCTTTATTGCTGTATTACAGATTTTCTCCCCCCCCCCTATTGACATCCTCATTTATCTTTAGATAGAGTGGGAGGGAGAGAGGAAGAGAGAGAGAAATATCAATGTGAAAGAGACACATCCACTGGTCGCCACCCACATGACCCCAATTGGGGCCGGGGACAAACTGCAGTTGAGGTACATGCCCTTAGCGGGAACCAAACCCAGGCCTCTCTGGTCCGTGGGCCAACGCTCTAACCGCTGAGCCAAACCGGCCAGGGCCAAAATGTGTATTTTTATACAATGTCCCTGTTTCTGAATTATTACAGTAAAAATAAATAAAATAACTCAGATGCTTCCAGAGACCAGATGAATGCTTGTATCAGATGACACTGATGGCCAAATCAAGGAGGTGTATGGCAGCAGAGAAACAAGGGGACACCACACTTCATGTACCAGGTCTCTGATCGGGCCTCGCCCTTGCTATGTCAGAATGGCTGCTTCTGCCATCTCTGGGACAGTCTGCTTTACATCCAAGCCCCACCCTAGGTGGGATGCAGTTTTACTAAGGGCAGACACCTAATACTGACCCTTATCTTCCTGTCTCAGCCCCCACGTGGCCAGCATGATGTGGGTGGGGTTAAGTCTGCCTGGTCACACCTGTCTCCAGTCCCAGCCTTCCTGCAGGAAGTGCTCGCTAAAGAAGGAATAGTGTAAGCCCTTTTTCCTCTGAGCAGCCTCACGCTGGCCCCTCCCCTCCCCTGCCCTGGGCAGGTGGGGGCAGGGCACTAGTGGGTTAAAAGCTGGCAGCTGGGGGGCCTCCCTTGGACGTTCTGTCCCTGGTAGAGCCCAAACTATTACAGGATGGCTACAACCAGCCCTGTGAGTCCACCTGCCTGCCCCTCCTGCAGCCTTGGCAGCCAGGTCTGGAGTTCACAGCCCACTCTGACTCCTTTCTTTGGTCAGGTCAGAGAGGCTGAGGGAGAAATCCTAAAGTGGGAGAAGGCGAAAGAGCTAGAGGAAGAGGAGGCAGCAGCAGCCAGAGCTTCGATGAGAGAGGAGGCTCCAAACTGTTCCACAGCTGTCCCGTCCCCGAGGAGGAAAGCCTGGAATGAGGGCCCAGTGGAGGTCAAGCTGGAGCTGCACCTTCTGCAGAGCAGGTAGGGCAGGCCCCTGCTCTGTGGCCTTGGACAACCCTCTTTGGGGAAGGTCGGAGCTGGCCTAAGACTTGGGCCCTGTTGTTCTTTCCAGCCTTAACCCAGTTGAGATTCTGGGTTAAATGCCTCTACTACTTCTCTGGTCCCCTAGCCCATCAGGGTAACTGACTCTGGTCACCTGGGTGGGCCTGTACCCCACATCTTGTACCCAAGTTTGTTCTTGAGGGGGTGAGAGCTCCATGCCAGCCCAGGTGCTGCTGCGAATGGGCACAAGGGCTCTTTGCTTCTTCTTGGCCACCCCTCCCCTCCAGGTGGGCACTATGGTTCTTCAAGAATGACCGCAGCCGGGCCTGGCAGGATAACCTTCATCTGGTCACCAAGTTTGACACAGTGGAGGACTTCTGGGCGTGAGTGTCTGCCCCTTATGGAAGAGACTGGGGCCAGGGGACTATGAGCTCAGGATCCTTCCCAGACCCCATGCCTCTCGGGGGCTGCTTTCTACACAGCTTTCCCAGTCCTCCCTGGCAGCATTAGTGAGGGTGGGAGCTTAGTGGATTCTTCAGGGGGCATTGAGGCTGGGGCACAGGCCCTATGAAACCTTCTTGGGACTTAGGGAGAAAGCCTGAGAAGTGGGAGAAACAAGGAGTTGACCCTGACTGCTACTTCATGATTTGTGACCCTGAGCAAGCTCCTTCCCTCTCTGAGCTTGTCTCAGTCACAACGTGAGGATTAGGCTGCCTCAGAGTGTCCATGGAGGAGCAAGGGAGGGGACCTGAAAGGAGCTGTGCAAATCTAAGGGATGGGTGAGAAGGCCTGGGGCTCCAGCTGGAGGGGCACCGGAAGTAAACCCTGCACTAGGGGGATCTATAAACACCACCCTGGGCTTGGGTGGTAAGGGGATGCTCCAAGGAGGAGGTGGGATTTGAAGGTTTGGGTAAGGATGGAATTCCAGGTGGGTGTACCAGTGTGAGCAAAAGCTTAGAGGCTGGAAGGTTGGTGGAAAGCAGTTAGGTCTGGTAAGAAGTTGAGGGGGCTGGGGTCAGTTGGTAGAAGGCCCCCCCAAAACCTGGACTTTCATCCTGGGGTTGGGGACTCTCTCTAGGATGTACAGTCACATCCAGCTGGCCAGTAAGCTCTCTTCAGGCTGTGACTATGCCCTGTTCAAGGTAAGCTCTGCCGCACAAGGGGTTTGGAGTGGGGGCTGAAGACAGCCTCCCTCTGAGCCCAGAGGAGGAAGTGCTGTAAAGGAGCTTGGACAAAGAGTCAGACCTGAACTGAGCCTTGAAAGGCTATTGAAGAGTCTGGAAAGTAGGGGGACTGAAGAAGGAACCCAGGATTCTGGCCTGATTTCTTAACTAGGAACAGGCATCAGAATTGGCCATGGATACTGCTCATCAAGGTCCAGACCAATCCCTGGAGGTGCTGACCCAGCAGATGTGTGTGTGGTGGGAACCTGACATCAGTGTTTAAAGATTTCCCAGGTGACCTTGTGTCCAGCTGAGCTTGGGAGGTCTGGCATGGCCCACATTGGGGTTGCCCCAAAGGCTTTGTGAATTACCTCCATTTGAACTCTGTTCAGTAAAAGAGACAAACACACACACAGGGCTGTAAAAGGTGACAAATGTTAAGGATCTGGAGTCTGGGGGAGCTCAGAGGAGGCTCTGGGAGCTGAATGGCTGCTGGTGGCATTTGCCTATACAGAGGGGATGGAGGTGAGACAGAAACTGGCCTGCGGAGGCCTACTGAGGAACAGAAGCAGGACCTAGGAAGGTAGCTGGGCCCCCACTTCCCTTTGAACAAAAAGAGGCAGTTGATTTGCCATCTGGCCTCCCAGGATGGCATCGAGCCCATGTGGGAAGACGCCAGGAATAAGCGGGGTGGCCGCTGGCTGGTCAGCCTTGCCAAACAGCAGCGCCACATTGAGTTGGACCGCCTGTGGCTGGAGACAGTGAGTGGAGGGGCCGGTAGGGAGGGTCCCTCAAAAGAAGGGGCAGGGCTGGTAATGGTACTGGTGGTGGAAGTGGTCTCAGGGATGGCAGGTGCATTCCCTGTGCCACAGCTGGAGGTCTCATTACCTCCCTTTTTGGCCCCAGCTGCTGTGTCTCATTGGGGAGAGCTTTGAGGAGTACAGCCGGGAGGTGTGTGGGGCTGTCATCAACATCCGAACCAAGGGGGACAAGATTGCAGTGTGGACGCGGGAGGCAGAGAACCAGACGGGCGTGCTCTACATTGGGTGAGGGTGTCTCTGGCAGGAGGTAGGGGCTGGGTCTCTTCTAGGGGAGAAGGTGAAATGGTGGGGAGGGTGGCTTGGCCTGCAAGGGAGACCTCTGGTACTCTCCCTGCCGTTTTCCCCTTCTACCTTACCCACATGTATTAAGGGTTTGGGAATCTAGATTTTTAAACTATTTCTAGCAGAACTCATTTCTTTTGCATTAGTCTTATTTTGGGTTTCCACATGGCTAAAACACACAAAACTGGAGTGATATGGCTAGAACCAGGGTAGGAGGTCTGGGAGGAGGACTGCAAGGTCCTAGGTTATCTCCAGGACCCACTGCTGCCTGTCCAACTGCCTCATTTCCTCTCCCACTTACCTCCCCTCCCCACCAGGCGTGTCTACAAAGAGCGCTTGGGACTCTCCATAAAGACCATCATTGGGTACCAGGCCCATGCAGACACAGCTACCAAGAGCAACACCCTAGCCAAGAACAAATTTGTGGTGTGAGAGGGACTTGGCACCCTGAGCCTCTCACTGCTGTGTGTGTGTCCTGGGCAGGACTTGGGGCGAGGACAGAGGGCTGGCTCTCTCCTGTTCTGGAGTGAATATGAACACTCTTTAACATGAGTTGGGGCCAAAGCCTAGGGACCTTCTGTGGCTGGTGGTGGTGGTGGTGGGGGGGGGGGGGGGGCGGCTGAGGACTCGGGGCAGTAGAAAGGTGGAGGGAATCCTGGTGTTTCCTTGTTTTACCCAGGGGTGGGTGGGGTAGGGTGAGTCCAGCCACTGGAAAGGAGGAATCACCTGCAGGTGAAAGATAGCAGGAGCAAAACCTATAATCTAATACTTACTCTGTGCCTATCTGGAAAGGGGGCTAGCTAGGGGGCCTGAGGGTGAAACCCTTCTATTCTAGGGGAGTGGGGCTCAAGGCCACTGCCACTCTGAGAGCTGGAGTTCAGGGACAGGAGTAGGGGCCTCTCCTGGTGATCACTGTGCTGAAAAACCTTTGTGGATTGCCTTTCATCAGATTTGTAGATTTGGAGCCCACTCTGAATCCCATACTTTCCCTGGAGTAGGGCTGTGTCCCCACCCCAGAGGCTGGAGGCTTAGAGGCAGAACCCTATCATATCACAGGGTTATGAAGAGACTTGAGGGAGACAGCCTAGGTTGTTTCTCCTTTCTTCAGCTGTGGCTAGGGCTGTCTGGGCCTTCCCTGCCTCAGGGCGGGTCTTAAGTGGAGGTGGGTGGATGAGGCCCCGCCCAGGAGAGGAGGAGAGTGGTGATCAGGCCTCAACCTGGGTCTGCTAGAGGTGGCTAAACTTGATGGAGCTCAAGCCTGTTTCTGTTGTCATAAATAAATATTCCCTTTTGAACAAAATTGGAATGATTTTTTTTAAAGGATGGCTCTAACATAATTCAGTCCCTCCAAAACCTCAATCTGCTCCAGTCCTCCCTTAAGGGGGCTCGTGTGAGACGCCCACGTACCAATTAGCCCAATCTGGCCCAAGATGGGATAGGGAAGAAGGATAAGACGGGGGGGGGGGGGGGGGGGGGGGGGGGGGCAGAGCGGGCTCCAAGCCCCAAAAGGGTTTGAGCCAGGGCGTGCAGTGTATGCCCCCAGAAAAACTGAAGAGGCAGGGACCAGCCGGTTTAGCACTCACGAGACTCAGGAGTTGTCTAGCCCCAGTTTGAGCTGGTATAGGTCCGGCTAAATTTCTGGTGAGTGAACCACGTGTCTGATTGGACTCCACTGTAATAAAACGTCCTGCACGTGTGTTAAGAACACGAGTCAAATCACCATCCCCATTTGCTCACCAGTGCTGAAGTTACTCCTCTCCAGAGATGAGCTCCCACAGCAAGGCCGGGGCGGGGTGGCGCGGGTACTGAGCCTTGTGGGCTGGGGGAACTGTGGGTCCTTCCTGCCTGCAGTTTGTGCTGCCATTGGCGAGCGTCTCAGGAGGGACTGAAGGACGCAGGGGCGCGTTCCGGCTGCCTGCGCTTCCAGCCAAGTCGGGGGCCGGTAGAGAGGGGTGCGAGGGAGGTGTCTAGGGCGGGGCCAGGCCCAGAGGCGGGGGATCGGAGGGACCGTGCAGCTCGGGGGTGGAGCCAGGCGTGGGGCTCTGAGGGTACCCAGCGACGAGCAGGGCGGTCCTGGCGCCGGGGGCGGTCCCTGTGGGGCGGGCGGGGCCCGACGGGCTCTCCGGGTGGCCTTGGCCATGAAGCCGCAGCCGCCGGGCTAGGCCCCGGGTGGCTCTAGCCCAGGGCTGCCCGCGGAGGGCTGGGCCCGGCCGGCTCGGGCTCCGGTCACCCGGCCAGCGGGCGGCCGCCCACCATGCCCGGCAAGCACCAGCACTTCCAGGAACCCGAAGTCGGCTGCTGCGGGAAATACTTCCTGTTCGGCTTCAACATTGTCTTCTGGGTGAGCGTGGGGTTTCAGGCCCTGTGCTAGGGGTGACGGGAGAAGGAGGTCTCCCCACTCCTTCCTCCCATTCCTACCTGTTCAACGCCCCAAGACCACCGGAGGGAACTGCTGGGAAGTTCAGATTGCAGGGGGAGGGTTCCAGTCACCACTGGCCTGGTGTGGGGAATGGGAGCCTCCCTGTGCCTTCCCAAGGCATGGCGGAGAAGAGGGGAGTGTTTTCCTGAAGGCCACAGGGGTACGTGTGCGCTGAGTGGCCTGTCCTTCCTAACACCTTTCCTTCCTCCCTCCCTTTAAAACCCTGGGGTGAGGGGTGCATGCTGAGCCCCAGCCTTGGTTTAGGGAAGAGAGTCTGCTGAGAAGGAAGGGCTAGGTCTCTTTTCCCGCCCCTCGCCCCTCGCCCCTCGCCCCTCGCCCCTCGCCCCTCGCCCCTCGCCCCTCGCCCCTGCCCCTCGCCCCTCGCCCCTCGCCCCTCCAGCACCTGGGCCTGGTACACTGCTTTTAGCTCTGGCAAAAGGGGCTTGGGTCAAAGCCTCTCCACCCCAGCCCCTTACTGGGAGGCTTTTGGGCAGAAGGACAATAGAGTCCTGGGGGAGGATCACCCCTACTGAGAGGCTGGGAGCTGGCCCTGGGGAACAGAATTCCACATTCCACAGCTGACCTAACCAAGGCTCCAGAGTGGGGCTGCTCCTGTCCTGAGAAGAGAGCTGCTGGTGCCCCTCCCAGAGTGGCATCTGTGCCTCTGGGCCCTGCCAAGTCATCTTTCCTATCTCCCTCCCCCATCTCATCTCTCCAAGCTGCTTGCTGCCTCTGCAATCTCTGCTTCTTCTGCCCTGGTAAAAATGCCAGGCCCATTCAGTTCAGCATGACTCCGTGGCACAGCCCTCTACCCACATGCTGCCCATGCCATCACCCTCACACATGAATGTCCTTTGGCTCCAGCAGTGCTCTGTTCTTGGAGGGTGTAGGATGTGTGCAGACTTTCCTGGAAGCCTACATGTACAGGCCTAGCTGTGAGACTGTGGGCAAGTCACTTCTCTCTAGGCCTCTGCTATATCAAATGATTATAGTTTACTGTATTCTTTTTAGTAAAGAGCAAAGGCCAAGGACCCGGTTCCCAAAGGGTCCGTTGTAATCCCATTTACTCTTTTTTTCTTTATTGATTTTAAAGAGAGAGGAAGGGAGAGGGAGAGAGAGAGAGAGAGAGAGAGAGAGAGAGAGAGAGAGAGAAATGTCGATGAGAGAGAACATCAATTGGCCATCTCCTGCATGCCCCCCACTGGGGATTTGGCCCACAACCTGGGCATGTGCCCTGACCAGGAATCAAACCAGTGACCCTTGGTGCATGGGTTGACACTCAACCACTGAGCCACACTGGCCAGGCATTTACTGTATTCTTGAAGCTACATTATTATCATCTATATTTTATATATAAGGTAACAGGCACAGGGAGGTAAAGTCACTTAACCTAGAGACACATAGCCAATAAGTGCAGAGCCAAGGTGACAGTCTAGTGGGCAATGGGTGGAGGTGAGGTAGGGCATTGAGTAGAGCTCTCAAATGCCAAAAGGGGACAGGCATGAGAGACCCAGGCTTGTTCCATGGTCCTGGGGCTGGGGCAGGGGCAGGGGCAGGGGCAGAGTTTGAGTTTATGTCGAAGGCAGTGTGGAACAGTGAGGGCTTCAATGCTGGTTGTGGGTTTGTTCTGGCTTTTGTATTAGAGCTTTCCTTGGAGAGGGTGGGTGAGGGACAGGAGTTGGAGGTGGGGAGACCAGGGAGGAGGGCTGGAGTAAAGTTGGGGGTGGGGAGGAAAGCTCCAGGGGAAGTTGTAAGGCTGGATTGACAGGACCAGGCCACTTTGGGGACGGGATAGAGGGAAAGTTTCAGGTTTGGATCAAGGTGGCCTAAGGGAGGTAACTATGAAACAGGTCCAGAGATTTTTTTTTGTTTTTGTTTTAATGGAAAGCAAATCCTGGTGTTATCTGGCTCATAATCTTGCAGTGGTTTCTCACTAGAATATAGTCCAGACTCCTTCCCATGGCCTTCAGCACCATTTGGGGTCTGGCCCCATTTCCTTCACTTTGTATCCTTGCACAACCAAAACTGACCTAACCTTTGCCAGTCCTTCTCCCTGGAATTCTCTTCTGCTCTCTGTACCTTTTTATCAATTTAACCTCAGCTAAAATGTCACCACTTTCCCTAAATAAAGTTTACTCCCCATCACCCCTAATCACTCCCCATTGTGTCGTCCTGTTTGATTTTCTTTGAAGGATCTGTTGGTAACTGAAATTACCTTGTTTACTCACTGTGGATTTCCCCCACTGAAGTGTAAGAACAGAACCTGGGACATGGGAGTGTTTGCAGTAAGTGTCTGGAGCTAGGAGAGGCTTGGATGGCAATCCTGGAGATGTCAGTTTCATGAAGGGATGGAAAATGAGTGGGAGGAGGTAGAAGGGCAGAAGGCTGAGGCTAGAACTGGTGGGGAGTGGGTGTGGCTACTTGCCTAGGGTGGGTGAAGCAGAGGTGCTGGGAAGGAGGCTGAGAAGGGGCAGGTCAAAGAATGGCAGTGAGTTAATCACTGAGGGGTTCAAGAAGGAGAGAGCAGTGGTAGTAGCCTGTCTAAATACTGTGGGTAGGTCAAGTGGGATGAGGCAGGAGAAGTGATGTTTGGTTTCACATCCCAAGATCTAGTGTGGAGGAGGGAAGGAAAGACATTTCTAAAGAAAGCGTGCAGCAATTGGAGGAGCCTGGGGTCAGAGGGGAAGGCATTACAGGTGGCATGCAGTTGACCAGGCTAGGTGCTGAGGGGGAGCCTGAAGAGAAAGCAGGGGGTGGAGGGTGGTCTGAAGAGGTGGGTTCATGGCCCTGGATTTGGGCTGGAGGTGATGGATGGTCAGGGATCTGCTCAGGGTCAGGCAGCAGCCTTGATATCCAGGTCTCTTCCCAGTATGGAATTGAGTCAGGATGGCTGGTGGCGTTTAGAAGGCCCAGGCAGAGCTGTGGCCACATGTTTTCTAGGATACAGCCACTGACCCAGGCTGGGACCCCATAGTTGGGTCCTGCTCTATATCAGGATTCCTTGTCATGCAGGGGGCTTTGGTTTTGAGCTCTGAGAATGGAATTTGGCAGAAAACAGCCTCTGGCAGACAGAGGTTGAAATGGTGGAATGGGGGTGGGCTGGTGGTCACAGAGTTGCAGAGAAGCCAGAGGGCTGGACTTGGGAGGGGACAGATGCTAAGAGCCCTGAATCCCAGCCTGGGCTGGGGCAGGAGCAGAGGCTCAGGACACTGCTGCTGCTGCTTGATGGGAGTGTCGTGATTGCCCTCTGTTCCAGTTCTGAGTTCCAGGAAAAAGCCCTGATGTCCATTCCAAGGCTAAGGGGTGTTTAATCTTCTAGGCTGTGTGCTGTGGGCAAGAAGCACTGAGAAGTGTTCTTGGGAAGGTATAAAGGAACCTGGATCCCATTTACAGCCCTTGCCCTCTTCCTTTCTCTCCCTCTGAAGATACTGAGTGCTGGGGGAAAGAGGCTCTGTTGGGGGTGGAGCAGGATGCTGGTATCTCAGCTCTCAGCTCTTTGCTTCTGCTCTTGCAGGTGTTAGGAGCCTTGTTCCTGGCCATCGGCCTCTGGGCCTGGGGTGAGAAGGTAAGGAGGTGGGGTAGGGCATGGGGCTGCTGCAGGTCAAAATGATGGGAAGATCAGCACCCCCACTTGCCTCTGCTCCCCTGGCACAGGGCGTTCTCTCCAACATCTCAGCGCTGACAGATCTGGGAGGCCTTGATCCCGTGTGGCTGTTTGTAGTGGTTGGAGGCATCATGTCAGTGCTGGGTTTTGCTGGCTGCATCGGGGCCCTCCGGGAGAACACCTTCCTGCTCAAGTTTGTGAGTGTCCCCCAACCTAGATCCACTGGGGACCCCAACCTCCTCCCACCCACTTCTTGCATGTATTTTTTGCTTTATAATGGGTAGCTTTATTGTGTTATAACAATATATATTAGATTCATATTATCTGTATTCATTTTTAAATATTTTTCTTTATTGAATTTAGAGAGAGAGGAAGGGAGAGGGAGAGAGAGATAGAAACATTGACGAGAGAGAACATTGATTGGCTGCCTCCTGCATGTCCCCACTGGGGATTGGACCACACCCTGAGCATGTGCCCTAACAGGAATCGAACTGGACACCTCTTGGTGCATGGGTCAATGCTCAACCACTGATTGATACTGGCCAGAACATATTATCTGTATTTATAGGATCCTTTCTCTTGTAAATGACAGAAAACCAGTGGCCTAAACATGAAAGGATATTTATTGGCTTACTAAGAAAAGCCCAGGGGTGTGCTGGCTGCCAGCACATTGGGGTCCAGGAACCACTACAGTGTCACTTGGCCTGGTCTCTGTTTCTTCGTTCTGTCCCTCTTGGTTAGCTCCATTCCCCATGGGGTCCAAGGATGCCCAGGAATGGTCGGTGCTGGCTTCATGCTGTTCTCCTAGAAACTCCTACTGGAGGTTGAGTCTCTTTTTCTCAACCATTGTGTCAAGTCCTTTAATTTCATCTCCTTGATTCTGATTTGCTGTGTCTGGACCAATCCCTGTGGCCCCTGGGAGGTAACGCTCTGATTGGTGAGCTCCTGGCGCATGCCCAGTCCTCTGTCTGGGAATGGGGAAGGAGGTAATGGCTCCAGCTGAGCCACAGAAACTGAAGGTGTATGTGAAGGGTGGTTTCTCAAAAACAAAACAAAAGAAAAAAACCCTGTAATTACCAGAGGAAGCCGAATGTATGGGTAGGTAAGGGCAGCACTGTCTTCACCATCATAAAACAACATAAACATGATAGAAGGTGGGGACTGCGAGCTGTCTTGGATCCCCATGGGGGCAGAGCTCTGTCTGGTGGCACCCACCAGGCCCTGCGTCTCCAACCCCCACCGTCTGTATGTCCCCACCCCCAGTTCTCAGTGTTCCTCGGCCTCATCTTCTTCCTGGAGCTCGCGACAGGGATCCTGGTCTTCGTCTTCAAGGACTGGATACGAGACCAGCTCAACCTCTTCATCAACAACAACGTCAAGGCCTATCGGGATGACATTGACCTCCAGAACCTCATTGACTTTGCTCAGGAATATGTGAGTTCACCGTCCAGCGCTGGTCTGCCACCTGCAGGGGGCACCTGCTGGGCAGAGGAGCCAGGGAGCAAGTGCTCTGTGTGCTGAAACCATTCCCTCACCCATCCAGGCCAGGCCGGCCCCAGGAAGAGAGCCAGGAGTTCTCCTTTCTGAAAGGAAGCCGGCCCTTGGTGATCCCTGTTGTTCTCCATATGCCTAGTCCTGCAGGGAAACTGGTTTGGGGAACAGAGCCCAGAGGCTCCGAACATGTGGGTCTCCATATGCCTAGTCCTGCAGGGAAACTGGTTTGGGGAACAGAGCCCAGAGGCTCCGAACTAGGTCAGGGCTTATACCACACTTAACAAGGAATAAAAATGTAGATTCCACCCTGGCCGGTTTGGCTCAGCAGTTAGAGTGTTGGCCTGAGGACCGGAGAGTCCCGGGTCCCTTCCCGCTAAGGGCGTACCATGGTTGCAGTTTGTCCCTGCCCCGGTTGGGTTCGTGTGGGTGGCAACCCAACCACTCAATGTGTCTTTCTCATGTTGATGTTTCTCTCTTGCTTCCCCCATCTCTCCCTCCCGCTCTATCTGAAGATAAATACACACACACAAAAAAAGTAGATTCCCTCTTCTAGAAACCATGGGCCCACAGTATCGGCTGGGGCATCGTTGCTACCCCCTTTGCTAGTACAGGGGCTCTCTATTTGCCACTGTCCCTGACACTCTGTATTTTATTATACCTGTCAGTCTTCTCTCTTATTTATATTATTTGTTTGGGCTCTGAACATATTAGAGTTTGAGACTATATAGAAGCTCTGTCCTCAAGCTTGCATACTTACTCCTGTGAAGAAGCAGTCAGTGAACAGTTCATGAAATCCTAGACACCTCACACCTGCAGGTTCTCTTCCACACACACAGTGACACCCAGTCACACCCACTTATACAGCCATATTCATTTAGCACTGTCCACATTATCTACTCTGGGATCCAGAGATGAACTAGAGCTGGTGTCTGCTTTGAGGAGCTCTCAACCCAGGGCTAGGCAGGCATATAGCCATGTGATTAGGACATGGTTTGTTTGTTCATTCAACACGGAATTGTTATGGGCTTATCATGTGCCAGGCCCTGGGCTGGGTGCTGGGGATTCTATAGTGAAAAAAGTGGGGACCTATCCTCATGGGGATGACAGTCTGGGTGGAGAGACAGATGATAAATAAGCAAACAAACAGATGTGTGTATGTGTGTATGCATGTGTAAAGTTATAAATTGTGGTAAGGCTGAAATGGGGAAGGGGAGATGGGGACATGGGTGCTGATGACAACGTTTATGAAGTGCAGTGGGAGGGTTCTGAGTATGGCAGGATTGTCCTCATGCCCTTGTGGAAAGGAAGAGAGGTCTTCGTAAAATCTCTGGGTGAGTGTGGGGAGACCTGGTGTAGACATGTTTAGTGGAGCCTCTCCCCACCGGGCTTGGCCCAATACCCACCCCTCAGAGTCCTGCAGAAGGTCCCAGTTCTTGGGCCAACATCCTTGCCCCAATCCCTTTTTTAAAAATGCTCACCTGAGGACATGCTTAGAGAGAGAGAGGGAGGGAAGGAGGGAGGGAGGGAGAGAGGGAGGGGGAGAGAGAAACATCGATTGGTTGCCTTCCTTATGTGCCCCGACCTGGGATAGAACTGCAATCTGAACACGTGCCCTGACCAGGAATTGAACAGGCAACCTTTTGGTGCACAGGACAACGCTCAACTAACTCAACTAACTGAACCACTCCTTCCTTTTACAGCCTCTCTTGGGTTAGGGGGACAAGTTCAGGAGCATCTTCCTACTACCCTCAGCTCACACCAACCTGGGCAGGAGCCTAGAGCTGCTCTGATGACCCTGGGCTTGGCCCAGTTTGTCTGCTGGGAGGGCAGTGGGGAGGTGCCTGCCCGCCTGGCTGCCTCTGCACGCACCCTTCCCAGTCTGGCCCTGTCTCTCTGCAGGGGCGGGGAACCTTTTTTCTGCCAAAGGCCATTTGGATATTTATAACATTATTCATGGGCCATACAAAATTATCAACTTAAAAATTAGCCTTCTGTATTTGGTCAGGCTAGTTTGGTGAGGTGTGTGATGTTAGCTAGTATGGATGTCGCAGGCCTATGCAGCCCGTGGGCCGGACATTCCCCACCTCTGCTCTCCAGCCTGGGCTTGTCCCTAAACAGGGTGGGTCTGCCTTACCTGGGGCTCTCCCCCTTTCCCTCCTCCTTTAGTGGTCTTGCTGTGGAGCCCGAGGGCCCAACGACTGGAACCTCAATATCTATTTCAACTGCACTGACTTGAACCCGAGCCGGGAGCGCTGCGGGGTGCCCTTCTCCTGCTGCGTTAGGGACCCTGCGGTGAGTGGTGCCTGGTGAGGGGCAGTTTTGGAGGGCATTGCTGAGTGCAGGCCCAGTCTGGGAACAACCCATCACAGGTCTAGCTTGTTCTCACCCTGGGGGCTATGGATGTCGGGAGGAGGTCATTTTATATGGGCTACCCCACCAGGTTGGGGAGTTTGTATTGGTGAGCAGCACTGAGGCCTGCTGGAGTTGAGGCTGTGCCTCTTAAGCAAAACTTGTGTCTTCGGTTGTATTGACATGCTACTTGCAGGGCCCTGGGCACAGGGCCTGGCCCACCGGGCTTCAGGCACCTTGTGTTTCCAGCTAAATGCAGCCCAGGCTGAGTCTGCTCCTGGTTGGCCTGAAGCTTGTCTGGGGGCCAGGGACTGACTGGGTCATTCCCTCAGTCACTGGTGTATGTGACAAGGCCCCACCTAGGCTGAAGCCATCACCATACCCCTGGGCCACTATACTGGGGTGTTAGGAGTGGGGGTTCTGATCCCTTTATAACTTAAGAGCAGAAACTTCTCACAGTGACATCTTTGTATTCACAGTTCACCTGGGACACTGTGGGCCAGGTTTCTTCCCATTCTTGTAAAACATGATCAGGCAGGATTCTCACATGGGAGAGAGCTCAAGCTGTCGTGTGCAGCTAGGCATCCTGGTGTCAGGCAAAGGTGCATGGGCCTCAGTGAGCCCCTGGGTACAGCTGAATCCACGATCCATCTGCTTCCCCTGAGGAGCAAGGACTATTGCAGTCTGGGTACCATGGGTCCCAGGGGTGCCCCCATCACCGATGGCTCATTGGGCCTGTTTCTCCTCAGGAAGATGTTCTCAACACCCAGTGTGGCTATGATGTCCGGCTCAAACTGGTGAGAGGGGCAGGGACAGGGCCGGGGGCGGTTGGGAGCACTGGGATGGGAAAGGGCCCCTCATAAGCTCCTCTGGCAAGGCCACAGGGGTCTGTGGGGAAGGGGTGCTAAGTCCCAAGAACCATCCAGGCACGCAGGCCTTGGTACTGCAAATATGGGGGCAGTGGACCTGTGGGCACAGGCACAGGTGCGTTTGCTCAGTCCAGCTCTTTGTTGAGCACCCACGGGGTGCCCAGTTTTGCTGTTGACATGGGATGCACGCTCCTGAGACAAACAGAGCCTGGGCTCTCAAGAAGCTCCCACTCCAGTGGAGGGAGACACAGAAAGCTCATTGATAAATAAATGTGAATAGTAATGTGACAATTTCAGCTAAGAGCTTGGAAGAAAATAAAATAAGGGAGGTGATTGGGGCGGGGCAGTCAGAAAATGCCTCTCAGAGGAGTGGGTGTCTGCTGAGACCCCAGTGATGAGAAGGAGCCAGCCATACCAAGGCCTGGAGCAGAGCTCCAGGAAGCAGGCGCTGAGGCGTAAGGCCCTGGGGCAGGGGTAAGATGAGGCTCATGGTGGTGCGTGGACTGAACCCCATACCTGTGTGTCCCCAGGAGCTGGAGCAGCAGGGCTCCATCCACACTAAAGGCTGTGTGGGCCAGTTTGAGAAGTGGCTGCAGGACAACCTGATCGTCGTGGCCGGGGTCTTTGTGGGCATCGCCCTCCTCCAGGTACTGTGGAGGCTCACATGCTGCCACCACTCTTTTACCCCAGGTCCCTCCACTCTGCCGATGGCCTCTCCCTCACCTTCTCCCTTTTTCAGATCTTTGGCATCTGCCTGGCCCAGAACCTCGTAAGCGACATCAGGGCAGTGAAGGCCAACTGGTGAGGCTACCACGCTGGCCATGGCTACCTATCTGGCCTTCCCAGGGACCTGCCGCTGTGCCGTGAAGGGCATGGCTGCAGGAGGCATTTCTGCTTGGACCTGAGCCCCATGTGGGGCTCGTGTGTGCTATGTGCCCACAGAGAGAGCCGCATGACTCTGCCTGGGTTGCCTGTTCTGGACTTGTGTGCATGGAGGGTGTGTGTGTCAGTGAGTGCACAGGGAGCCGCTGTCTTGGCTGTTTTGTTATGTGGTGAGCTCTCCAGGGGACGCGGACGGGTGCAGGCTGGGACACAGCTCTCTGCATGGTGGTTTGGGGGCGGGCGTCGGGCCTGCTTTTGCCTGAGATATGGCCTCCCGCAGCTTCAGAGCTCTCTACTAGCTGTGACCTTGACCGTTCCAGGATCCCACTTCAGCCTCAGTGTCTCAGACTCGAAAATGAGTCCAAGAATTTTCTCTCCCTTGCTTGCCTCTCAGGATCAAACATGATGATGGCTACAAACTACTCAAATAAACAAAACCTTGAAAACCACTGGTTCACCCCCCACATCTGGTTCTGTCAGCAGCAGGGCCCCTGGCCCGGACACAACCTGCACCGTTTTCTTTTGCTTGGGTCATGTATACTTTTGAGCCAAACTTTCACACTTGTTATATTTAACATAAAAGTCCAGATCCCCGGTTTCTCAGTAAGAATGGACATTTGGTTGTGGCAGCTCTTTAGTGTCAACATCTCTCGGGATACACACACCCCATTCTCTGAGGCCCCGCCTGACCCATTCTGCTCTTTCCTTCGGCTCTGCCCTGCCTGACCCTGTAGGCCAGGAGTTGGCCTTCCCCACCTCTTCCCTGCCACCACCTGGAGGCTGCTGTGGCCAAGCCTAGAGGGAAGCACAGGGATGTGAAGAATGGAGGCTGGACCCTGCCTTGAAGAGGACGGGGAAGAAGGGCTGACCCTGCTGGGGACTGAAATGGGTGCCAGTGGGCCCAGGAAGGTGGTTGAGGGGTCATATGGAGATGAGGAAGGTTTTGGGAAGGAAGTAGCTGGAAGCGCAGAACTAGGGGGTAGGGAGGTCATGATGATTAACTCCTGGGCTCACTACTTGGAATTAAGTTCTAACTCTTCCCTGTGGCCTGCAGAGCTGCCTCATGGCCACCAGAGGGCGCGCCAGTAGCGCATTCCCTACCTCTTGATTTTTCTCTGGCAACCTCACCAGGTAGTCAAGTGCCTGGTGTGTCCACCCTGCTTACTAGTGCTTCCGGGGTTCCATGAACTTAAAAACTTCAAAAGGAGCAAACTGGCTCAAGCTTGGGAAAGTCTGGCTGCTATTCTCAGTTCTGCCTCTTAACAGCCACATGAGGGAGTGTGTGTGGAGTGACTTTCATATCCCTCCCTGGGCAGCTCTTTGTGGCTAGTTTCCAGATCTCAAACTCAGATGTCTTGAGGGCCAGGTAGGTCATATTGTAGATGAATGAAATTAGGCCTTTGAGTAGTGAGGCCTTTGCAGTGCTACTTTGACTTTCCCATTGTTACTCAAGATGGGACACAGACTGCTTTGTGACAAGAGAAATACTAGGGTGGGCAAAAGTTGTGAGTATGCGACAGAGTTTATTCTTGTATTATTCATTAATGTCCTGTTTTCCATATTAACAACTGTAAACCCACTTTTGTCAGCCCGGCCTTGGCACGGAGGGGAGTGCGGTGCAGCAGATCCGTCTCAGGTGGGGGCTGCCATGAAACTAGCTAATTGCTATAAAGTGAGAATGCAGGTCTAATGTTAGTAATCTGGAGAGGCCAGAGATCCAGATTTTTAAATTGTTGGCAACTAATGAAAAAAAATTAAAAACCTGAGAACCAAACAGAAGGTGTGGGGCCAACTTTGGCCCCTGAGCCACTGTAGATCCTTCTGGGATAGTCACCCACGGGGGCTCTTTGCCACTCAGGGATGCTGGGAGTTGTGGCCAGGTGAGTGGGATGTGGGGTGTGCACCCAGCATCAGTCCTGGGGTCCCTGACAGGCGCTGGTTGCAGGTGGTTTATAGAAGCTACAATACATTCAGCTCACAGTCTTCTGTCTTCTAATTTCAAATGCTTTCGTTTTCATCCCCTACCCCAAACCTAACAACTCCTGTGTGAGGTGGAGGTTCTCTTCCTGATGGAACTGCTCAGAGGGAGGGAGGTGCCCAGCTCTGACGCCTTTCAGCAGGGTTTTGCCTCAGACCCGCCCTGCCTCTCTGACACATCAGGGTGAAACCACACTTGCAGTGCCCGCTAGTAACGGCAGTAAGGTATCTTCCCCGAGCATGAGTTGAGCATCCACTTAAGTGCTGGGGATGAAGGGGAGAGAAGGGCAGGGTCCCAGCCCTTGTGCTACATTCTTATGGGCGAGACACAGAAACTAGGCACGCGAGCATTTGTGTTAATACATGCATGAAAAAGTAGATGTGATGGGCTAGACAGTGACAGCTGGGGTATCTGGGAGAAGGGACCCTTTTGAACGGGGTGACTGGAGGAGGGGGTGCTATCTTTGGGAAGCTCCAGAACAGTGTTCTAGGTTTTAGTATCAGCTGCCCCACAGGCCCTGAAGCCAGAATGGGCTTAGCATGAGGAAGCCAGGGGTACTGGAGAGGTGGGGGTGGGTGAAGGGCAGAGGGCACCGACAGAGGGAGATGGAGGAAATGGGTTATATTTGGAAATAGGATTGGTGAAATGGGATAGAATGACTGGTAGGAGTGATCATGACCCTGGCTGGGGACCCAGAGTTCTCCAAAGCTCAGTTCTGCCACAGCACATCCATCAATCCACCAACTCATTGATCCACGCAGCTCTGGCTGGAGGCCGAGCTTTCTGAGGCAGCTCGCACTCGCCCTTGCCTTCCTGGGCCCTGGTCTCGGCAGAAGCCCATGGAGCAGCTGGTAGTGGTGCAGTGTGGACGTGGTGATGAGCATATGGTCACTGCTAGGTGGCGCAGCATGCTGTTTAGAGACAAATTCCTGTCCCCAAAGTAGAACTTAAAGCAGTTCTTTTCCTTGCACTGAGGAACCCTAACTCAGATGGGGACCTTTCCAGATGTGTAGAAAACACAAGGAAGTGTGTAAGGCTGCCCCTTGCTCATCCCTCTAGGCAGGTCCCTGGGCCATGGGGACCAAGGTGACCTTCCCATACTCTGTTACTGGAGGTGACAGGTGGTCATTGGCAGCCTGGGAGTGCCCCAGAAATCCAGGGCCTGCCTAGTGTGACCAAGGAGGGTCTTCTAGCTTGGTGGGAAGGCATCCTGTGAAATTGGGCCACCTCAGAGAGAGGGCTGAAGGGGGAACCAGAAGGGACAGAGAGGGCTCATGCTGCTGAGCCTTTGGCTCTGGTCAGGTGGCCTAGAGAGGTCAGGCCAGGGTCCCCTCCCAAAGGATAGAGCCTTAAGGTGTGCATGTCTTGGGGGATCCACTCCCAGTGATCACCAGATGGCACCAAAGAGCAGCCCACCCACTGTAGCAGGATCCCAGGGCAGGGAGGTGCTGGGAGTGTGGAGGTAATTGAGGGGAGCCCCTGTTGCCAAGTAAAGTTATGTCACCTTTCAGAAGCCTGATGCCAAATTCAGGTCTTGCCACCCTCTGCATTGTCTACTCCAGGAACAAAAAACACTGACCCCCTCCTCCCCAGCTTCTCCCAGTGCTCAGGAAGACATGAGCTCACCTCCGGTCCCCATAGATGGCGATGTCTGCCTGGGAGAGGTGATGGGGGGGTCACTTTCCCTAGGAGGCTGAAGCTACATGCTCCACCACATACACTTCTCTTCGCTTCTTCAGCCAGACTTACTGAGCACCAACTAGGTTGTAGGCACTTGGATACATTAGAGAATGAAAGAAGACTCACCTCATAGTGCTCACAGTCCAGACTGGGGTCAGCAGCCTTTGTCTGCAAAGAACAAAGAGTAGATATTTTAGGGTTTCCGGCCACTCAGCTCTGCCTTTGTAGCGTGAGGCCACTCTCAACAAGACAAATGGGCATGGCAGTGTTCCAGTAAAATTCTCTGGATGCTAAAATTAGAATTCCATATAATTTTCACGTGCCACAAAATATCCTTCTTTTGATTTTCAATCATTAAAAACATAAAACCACCCTGGCCACAGTGGTGCTCAGTGGTTAGAATGGCAGATCACTCACCGAAGTGTTATGGGTTCGATTCCCAGTCAAGGGCTTGTACCTGGGTTGCAGGTTCTATCCCCAGCCCTGGTTGGGGTCGTGCGGGAGGCAACTGATCAATGTGTCTCTGTCGTATTGATGTTTCTCTGTCTCTCTCCCCCTCCTTTCCTCTCTTCCACTGTCTCTAAAAATCAATGGAAAAAAATATCCTTGGGTGAGAATTAACAACAAAATACAAAAAACCCCACAAAGCCATCCTTAGCCCTTGAGCTATACAAACAGGCATGGGCTGGATTCGCCTCACAGTCTGGAGTTGCTGGCCGATCTAGGAGGAGAGAACACACAGTGGACCTTGTGAGAGTCACTTGGGAGACAGTGCCATGGAAACAGTAGAGTGAGTATGGGTTGGGCAGACCTCAGTATAAAATGGGGTAATTTTAAATTATTTTGATAGCATAGGTAAAATAGGAACCCAATCTACATCAAAGATGGAAGAAGCTCAGGTCCCCTTATCCCCCTGTTCGGTTCCCCTTTTTTACCCTCCCCCAGGATTATCACAACTTCCAGACCTTTTACATTATCCAAATTTTGCATGCATATTATGTATCCACAGAAAACATTCACTGCCATTTTGAGTGTGTGGTCTAAGTGGCAGGTGATTGTCCCCATCTCACTGAGGCTTGCTTTTCTGCCCCCACCGTTCATGTCTGTGCATTAAAGCTGCTCATTTCAGGTGACTGTGGGGTGTTTCCCTGCAGCAACAATCCATGTCTGCCTCTCCATCCCTTACCTGATGGATGGTGGACGGTCAAGCCGTTCCCACTTCTACCCAAGGCTCAGGTTAGAGGCAAAGCTAAGCCTTCTCTCCAGGGCTTCCGGCTGGAACAGCCATTGCTTTGTTGGGCAGAAGGATGAGGGCTACAGGGGAGGGTGTCTCAAGTTGCTCCTCAGCCCAGGCATCAGTTTGATGCCCATGCCAATCAGAGGCTTGGAACTCAGCCCATCAGAAGTGTAAAATCCACACAGTTAGCCCCTTGGCACTGCCAAGGCTGTTGCCACGGTAATGATTCCCTGCCCCCTGTGCAGCCACATAAACAGATGGGGACATCAGAACCTTGCATACAGAGGGGGCTCTGCTGTGGCCCGAGCATCTAGCCCATGACTGAAGGCTCCCTTAGGCACCCAGAGGCCTGGATGCTTGTGGGGATGATCATGTCTGGGTAATAGCTCACCAAGCTACTTCCTGCCTAGGCCAGACCTTCCCCAGGCTGGCCCAGCATATCCCACCCCCAATTTGTGGGAGTCTCTTGGAAGTCATGACTAGAGAGAGGGGGTCCCAGCAGGGCTGTCACATGGGATACCCTCTGGCTTGCCTGTCAACCAACATCTGCACCA